GCAACGAACGCATCGGTATCTCGTCGGATTATAACCAGGAATCTCCTTCACCACACAGGTGTAGGAGCCCGAGATCCCAGAACGAACTGGAACTACCCCGACAGGATGATCTCTCGAGAGACTGCAGTATGATCGCCTTCCAATGTATGGCTGAGTGAGTACCACAATTATCTGAAATGATGTTTCGCGATACGCTTGCTTACAACATTAAGTCTAGATATTCGAACGAAGTTAGTCATGCGACCGAGCGGCAAAGAACAAAGGCTGACTTTTTCCAGGTCCATACAAAAGTCACTGGATAACCAGAACAGCTGGACTACAACTATTCGCAGTGATCTGGAGGACATCCGCAGTCGTTTGGCGGTTGTGGAGGCGGCTATGGAGATGGTGGCCAAAGAGGGGGAGACCGATACTACAGAGGGTAATGCAACTAGGCGAACGCGTCGGTCACAGCAGTGATCTGGATCATGATTTGATGAGGTGGAAGTTTAGATTCTAAAGCCTGGTGTCGGCCCTTGACGGTTGAGGTGCCATCATGCAATTGTAATTTCAGACCAATCCTATCTCACCGGAGCAGACTCTAACTTGAAGCTGTATATAACCGTAAGGCTGGGGAACATTAGACAAAACGTCGCTATAAATTCGGTATAACGAAATAAATTCTCTGGCCTCGCTGCTGATAGCCTGATAGCCGTATAATGATACGATAAGACATGCTATTAAGGTTTTCGGGGGTTTAAGCACTTGACGATCATTTTAGCCATTACCTCTCCCTGGCCCACTGGATCCATCCTCAAGTCCCAGCGGTGGATCATTTGAGATGCATTGATAAGCCGTCGTACTCTTGGTAGATTATTCCAAATCTTATGACCCACGGATACCCCGCTCAATTGAGTTTCAATAACTGTGGGTGGAACAAAGATGTACCATAGCTAAAAGCCAGCAGCGTAACCTGCCATTTGGGACTCGATTACCTGTGAAGTGGGTTGATAATCCTCGAACAGAAGATGCACGCAAAAGAACTGGATTTTTTCTTCATGACCGTAGGGCCAAAAAAACTTGGCAGAGATGGGATTGCGTTACCTATTAAATGATCGGTGGAGACCATGGTTAAGTCACACTCAAATTGCTTTCCGGACGATCATGACCCACCGAGCTGGGGACCCTGCGCTAACCATATTCAGCGGCCACGGATCATTCTCCGAGGCTGCCCTTTGGCGGAACGAAAGTCTAATTAAGAAAACTGGTCGACGCATATCTATCTTTTACTATTCCATGAGACTGTGGTGGTACTGGTGAAGATTATGTTATGAGCTATCTATATGCGTAGTGGTCATATAAAATCGACTATGTGGTTCGCCACAACAAGCAGAACGGGCCCAAGCCCCAAGCCCTTCATTCTTCACACAAGCGATGCATACTGGTTGGTTGATTCTGGCGCTTGCTGGGTAGCAAGAGGATAATCACTCGATGCGGAAAACCCGGGAAGGGCATCGTGACCCAAAGACACCAGCGGACTGTACTGGTCGGGCCAAGTTCTGTGGATCACTCCAGAGCCCGGCAAGTAGGATGCCACTCTATAGTTGTGAAGGGATTCGATCGTGTTCCAGAACCGAGTGGTTGCCGATGTCAGCTCGCCATGCGCCTGATGCAGGACGGGCTGAATATCGTGCCATGAAATCTGGTCCTGCATAGTGGCGTTCACTGACTCCTGCTGCTGCTGAATCTGGCAGAGCTCTTTTTCAAGCCTCTGTTTTTCAACCAGGGCTTTGTCTTTTGCCGTGATTGCCTGTTGCAGTTTCGAAGTCTCCTGGGCCTTTTCATCATGCAGACACTGCATGGATTGAGAATGACGGGCTCTTTCATCGGCTATCGCCCCAAGAGCGAGCTCAAACTCTTCTTGAATCTGATCCATCATATGCAGACATTCCCGATGGGTTGCTCCGTCCTCTTTCTGCCTGGTGCTTTTCGTCACAGAATGTCCCTGGAAACGATGGTCAGCCAATAGCACACTGCGTAAGGAAGATCACATGATGACCTAGAGTACGGCAAGATACGAATAAGCGAGGGTAAGAGAGAGTGTGACATACCAGTTCTTTGCGTAGTTTCGCTACCGAGCTCAGAAGGCTACGGTCCGCCTTGGACGTAGAGCCCGCCGAACGGACAGAACAGGGCGAACCAGCACGCGACCTGCCCGAACGGGACTTTGCTTTGGCGGCAATGCGCTCTGCACTCCGAGGGGGCTTGGGGTCATTTGCCATATTGATTTCTTCGGTTTGAGGGGTTATCGTTGATTCAAGTAAGACGCAGGCAAACTGAAAAAGATGACTGAGTGTAATAGCCCCCTGGGATGCAACGGCTTTAAAGGTCTAGGTGGAGACCAAAGAAAAGACCTGAAACGAGGTGAAGGCGCTGTTAGCCCTTGCCAAGGCTTTATTTGCTAGCCTCTGGACCATGGGCAGAGATGATCGAGGAACCATCCTGCACGCCGAACCCCATTCGATGCTAGCTCAAACTAGAAAAAAAAAAGGAAATAAATTCAAGAAAAGGAGAGAAGAGGACAAAAATAAAAAAGAAGAAAAAGAAGCTTGGGGGTCCATTGTGGAGGAAGTGATCGGCCGGTCCGCACTGCATCCATCCAATCAGTGTTGTTTCAATACCGGCTGGATTTGAAGACTCAGGGTCAGTTGTGTACGAGAAGAATACTCTTTGCCCGTATTATAGTTCACTTGATATCTCTTGCACAGATATACATTCACGGTGTCATCTGATTACGATCAGCGATCCTCCCCCGTCACGTCTCTCATTGATGCACGCTGTTATATCAGAGGCAACATCTAAATTCTAAGCCGTTCTACGACAACAGAACCAAATTATGGTTCCCAGGACAACAATATGAGCAATTTTAACTACCAAGGCTCATGATCTGGTCCCTCGTCCATTGCCACCTTCGCGAGATTGCAACGCTACTATCACACTTCTGATGAGACCCTGGATACATAAAACACCAGTTGGACCAATCAAGAAACGCGCGTAAACATGGATCGACGCTGAGAATCTTCTGGGATAAAATTCCTAGTAATGACCCTTGGGACATTAGATCAAGGAGGTTCTATTTCTGGAATCGAGAAAAAAAGTGGCAGAACTTGGAGAACTCCAGGCAGGATCCAAAACCTTGCACTTAATGGTCCGTTGTCAACGAGTGGAAAGTTTTCGTTGCTAAGGATGTACGATTTAGACAGGTGAGATATTCGGAATATCACGCAATCTTCCCAGAGCAAAATGGTTAGCTAAAAAAGCTGTGTGGTCATGGTTCCCCAGAACCCTTTGGCCATTTGTCGGTTGCTACAATTCTGGTTCTTCATTCACGTAGTTTATAGAACGTTCTAGATGGTATCTATATCACTTTTCATCAGCCATCCCCAAATAAGCATATTCCCTTCCTATCCGATGTTTCCTCCCCTAGCCTTGCTTCAATATCTTCGCCAGTCTGGTAATACTTGCAGACAGCCTATATGAATTTAAGCTATTATTGGAGGGAGCAGAGAATATTGTATAGATATCTTCGATTTCTGTACTACAGTTTGAGATCGATTGGCCTTAGATCGAAAATGTTCATCGACGAAAACGGTAACCTTCGCCACAAATGCTCTCCATCAATCGCCAACAGTGGCGGGATGATACTATTCTCCCAGGTTACGAATGCATTCCTGAAAGTCTTGGCAAGGTGGAGGGAGATCGGACCGTCACCTTCTCATGGTCAGTGCCACTATGTACGCACACCAACGAGAAAAACACGATGAGCTAATCCAAAAGTAGTCAAACCTGGTGCGCAAATAGGACTTGACCGCCCAAAGACCGTCAAACACGAAACTTTCCCATCTCAGATCGTGAATCTTCCCTCAGAGTCACCGGCTCAGCCAATAAGATGGCCTGAATACCAGGATTCTTGGCGACACTGTTTGCGACCGGGAAACAAGAAACGAAAGGAGCGAATCGAAGAGCCCAGTATTCTGAATAACCAAAAAGCGTTTATTTCTATCATGGACAAAGATCTTTTGCGTTGCTACTATGAAAAAGTATTCCAAAATCCCCAGCAGACAAATTGCCGAGTGCTGGCAAAAGCCTATATCAAGCTGGTTGAGCCGCGCAAACAGGTACATTATCCCTACAATGGACGCAGAACTATTGCCCCCAAGACCCAGCAGTTGGATCCGGATGCTACTAAACCTCCTTGGTGGCCATCTGGAGTGAGCCACCGAGAACCCGATCATCTGCCAAAATCCGGTATGTTGGCTCCAATTTCAGGGCAAAGATGTTTGCTAGTTAGGTAGAAAGAACGCATTAGACTCCTTATTCATATCCTTTGCGAGCTACGCACCAGTCATGGCGTCTCTACCAGCAAATTGAGAGAAGCAGATCAACGAATCCGACATCAGATTTTCCCGTATGAGCGATTGCAAATATTGGATGAAGTCTATCATGTCAGAGAGGAAGAAGAAAAGCACTTGGAAAGGGTGACCGGTAAGGGTTGACACAACATATTAGCTGGACAATAGGGAACTCACTGGTTACAGACGGAAAGGCAATGATGACTATATGCCGTGCAAACTTTCCAGACCTCATAGAGCTATCGGCTAAGCGCCGGAAGCACAGTAGCCATCTCACTTTAATCGATGATGCACGCCGTCGAGACCCCAAGGAAGACATTGTCTCCATGCAAACCGAGCCTGTTCAAGGCATGAGCCTGCCACATTCAGTGTTTCCGTCGAGCGAGGACGTATTTGCGAACTTATCTCCGATGTCTTATCCAGTGATTGGTGATCCGAGTCAATATACCAAGCAAGAAATTACACCACAGTGCAGAATTGGTTCTGGGGCAATATCTGTGCCTCCACAGGCCTGGAAGAAAAAAGACCAACAATCTGTGACGCGCACTTGTACCAATAGCCCATCCCAATCGTTTTCGACAAATTCTTTAGATGGCATACAGACATTTCAGTACCCAGATTTCCCAACTCCCGAGTGGCCTGCTACAGGATTTTCTGGAGAAAGTTATGCGCCCCCATATTTTTTTCAATTATTCAATCGCCTTAGGGCCTAGCATGTCTACAGGAACCTTACATTGGCAGTATGTTCCAATACGGGGAATACCAGATTTGCTTGCCCGTGCCGCTCCGCACGAATTTTCAAATTGTTCGAAGTTGGCGAATTTCGACGAATTGAATCGCATTCGAACCTTTTCTTGCCTTTTTAGGAAAAATGGGTTATGTGATGAGCTTTTGAGATGGCTTTATTGTCAAGACATGATCATTCATGTTTGATGCTAGTGGTATAATGCCCGAAAACGGTTAACTCGCGGATAGCCGACTCGATGAAAGAATTACCTCCACGTGGTTGGGCTAGCTATAATTCGATCTACAGTAAGGTTGTGCCAAACACCACTAAATGAACGACAGGAGTACGCACGAGAAGCGCTGGTTTTCTATCGAAACTCGCAGAGCCATAGTTTCAAGATTTCTGTTCTCTCCCATCATCGGGGACTTATGGAACTAAAGCACTGACACAGCCCTCCTCTCCATAATTTTCCAAAAGTAAAAGGGTTAAGCTCGGTAAAGGGATCAAACCGGTTTGCATTACACTTACTCGGTGACATCTACCCTTGTCATGGTATGGTGCGAGTGTTGTCACACTTTTTTTTCATTTACTACCTGCGTACTGGCTATATGCTAAATTGCCAGTTTTCCTACAGCAATACCTAGATTCAAAGTCCGAAATGCATCATTGTTTTAGACAAGATATCAATATTGGTCAGTCGCAGAGGGCTCCTGCTGATCAAGAAGCGGGACAGTCGGTTCGGAGAAGCTGAGGGGAAATCGTCGCCCTGGGTGGCCACGCCTCCCTGCTCGGGCCAGTCTGCCTGAATGACTCCAGAGCCGGGCAAATAAGATGCCAGTCGTCTGTTCTGAAGGGCGTCGACCGTATTCCAAAATCGAGTGGTCGTTGACACCAGGTCTCCGTGTGCCTGATCCAACACCAGCTGAATATCGTTGCACGGGACCTGATCCTGCAGAGCGGCATTTTTGGACTCCAGCTGCTGCTGCAACTCAAAGACTTCTCGCTCGACCTTCTGACTCTCGGCTAATGCTTCATTCCGTGCTGTGAGAGCCACCTGCAATTTCGAATTCTCTTCGGCTTTCTCGGCTTCAAGTTGTCCCGGCAATTGACAATGCTTGTGTCTCTCCTCCTCCGTTTCCTCTTGTGCTTCTTGAACCTCTTCCTCAATGTTGCTCATCACCCGAAGACGTTTTCTATGGGTCCCTTTATCATGCTTCCGTCCAGGCTTTTTCGTGATGCAGGAGGTCTAGCATAGTCAGTAGAGTACATCAAGTTACGCCGCCAGCATAGTGTTGGTCACGAAGGAGTCAGAGCATATGGGAAGAAGGTAGAGTTTGGTACCGTATGCTTGTGCGACCTTGTCCCCGGTTTGAGAGGGCTCCGGTCATCTTTGGATCTAGAGGCAGTAGACCGAACGGAATAACACGACGGTGCAGCACGTAGCTGTACTTCGTCAGACCTGTGGCCTGTCTGCCCCCCAGAGGGCTTGTGATTCTTTGCCATGCTCGGTCTGTTCGATCGTAGAATGGACAATTATCCAATGTTATGTAGAATGATTGAAAGAACTATCGCCAGTGACGGTCGAGAAGATGATATTATATAGCAATGAGTGTAGGCCTAGGCGCAGGCTTGAAAACTAATGAAGGCGGTTTCACTCCTTCCAAACAGCTGTGCCAAAATTAGGATCATAATTCAAATATTGAGTACTGGGCGCAAGCGTGACGCACAAAATACCTGCCGTTTTATCGTGGAGTACGCGATCAACAGGGCCGCACATAGATGCACGTTGATGCAGATAACGCTATCTCATGACCAAATTTCAATCGGTCCCGATATACCACCCAGATGCTATAGGGCCCAGTATTGCAACGGGCATTCGAAAGGGAGTTCCGACCGAACGATCTTGGAACCCCGCATTCATTCCTCGGAATCCAATTCGACTACCATGCGGACGGAGCCGTTTCCATTCACCAACACCAGTTCATTCAAAGTAACTGTAAGCAGTTCCGTGAAATAAAAAATATTTGACTTCATCTTTGCTGCCAAGTGAAATTTGATTGGCTCTCGAGAAACTTTAAAAAGAAAAGGGCTCGATCTGCTGTGCGTACTGGAATGAGTCTGTGTCGGATAGATCGGCTGGCGGTGGTTTTGGGAAGAAGGCAGTCCGGAATGCCTCTGCTTTTTGCTCAACTGTTTCCGCGAGAGTTCCAGGTGTTTGGGGATTTTGTATTTTCAGTGAAGGGGTGATATCCTTCTCGTAGGCCCCGTCTCGGTTTCTTGCCCATTTGGCCAATCGCCACATACCCTGTGGGCCATCTTCAATGACCTGCTGGACTCAGCGCCGGTGCGCTCTTGACAAGGTTTTCTTGACGAGTCGCGTTTTCTTGTTGCGTGCTTCCGAGTAGCGTAGACAGTCTTATGAGTCTTTCGTTCTCGTATGTCGGCGACGGAGGCGACGAACTTCTTTGACCGCAACTTTGCACTCGTCAAAGTCGGGGTTCGACCATGCGGATGGTTGTGCCCATGGGGTTGATTCCTCGATTGCTGATTGGATCACAGCCATAAGCTCCTGGCATTTGGCTTCTATCCTTTGCGGATCTGCCTGGTATAGGCCTCCTGCCTGTAGACCTCCTTCGATCTTCTGGATGAGTTTCTGATCACCGGTCGCATTCCAGTTCTTCTCTTCTGCTGTGCAGCGATTGGTGTAACAATATCCAGCACATTACTGATCGGAAAATGATCGGATGCATGTTCGATATCATCCGCCCTCTCGCAATTGATAAGCCTGTTGACCAGGTTAAATGTGATAAAGGTGAAGTCAATCACCGACGACTGATCCTTTCGAGGCCAGGTAGGTCTGCCTTGTTGGGCCGTCAGCTTGAGTCCCCATTCATTCGCAATTTCTAGGAGCTGCTCGGCCTCCTGGTCTCATATTACAGCAAGTAGTAGAACTTGATATGGGATATTCGGAGCTCTGATAAATTACAAATGTTCTAGTTCTTGTGGGATATGCATCAGGCCTGTTATCTAATTCAAGAACAAAAAAATAATAATAATTAAGAAATCAAGATAGGGTTCCAAATTACATTGAAGCCACTTAGCTTTCAAAAATCCTGGATTTCAGAGAAACTTATCGTGACGTCATAAAGACCTTTATTATCATTGACACGTCGATTATCAAAATACGGTATGACAACAGCAAACATAAAACTCCTGAGCTGCCACAATATTTCTTCTCGATGATTTTCAGTATACTAGAGCGTGTCTTACACGATCCAGTGTACATTCGATGTTTCTTCGATCTCTCGACCAAAAAGAACTTGTCTAGCTACCCTCGTGAATGATCTCCGAGAGTTCCGTACTACGATATCGAATCCTCCAGAGTCGTCATAGATATAAACATTTGGTTCCATATTCAGAACTAGCTCTCTGGTTTGTGTCAAGCCGCATACATCTATTGGAGTCTTGCTGAATATGTCTCTTGATCCTTAGATTGAAAATGTGGTTATTTGGAAATAGGATCATCCGATGGATCACCACGAAATTTACAAGGTCGCCCAATGATGAGGCATTACAACGCAATTCCGAAGTTGAGAGGCATTTGAAAATCGAAAGGAAAAATGCGAACAAGACCTTTAAGATCCTGTTACTTGGTACGTAGACGGGCAAGATCTTCTCATGTGAAGCTCTACTAATCTGAAGCTCAGGTGCCGGCGAGTCAGGAAAGTCGACAATAATCAAGCAAATGCGCATTTTGTACTCAGGTGGATTCTCTGAGGGTGAACGCCGCGACACACGAGCAGTGATCTACGATAACATCATCAGCGCCTTCAAAGCATTGCTGGACATCATGAGTGTAGAAAACATTGGGTTTGGCACCGACAGTGCAAAGGTGATTGCTTAAATCCTCAATCCCTCTTTATTTTGCCTGGCTTATTGATCCTTCCAGCCTTCGGCTGATTTAATTGCCAAGACAGAGCCCAATGACTTTGCTGAGAGGTCGTCATTGTGCGATGCTGTTTCTGATGCTATGAGATGTTTGTGGATGGATCCCGGATTCCAAATAGCAGTTGCTCGAAGCCACGACCTTCCCTTCCATGAAAATATGCTTTAGTAAGTGAGGAAAATTCGTCCATTGGTTGAATATTCTAGCTGACTCGTCCAGCTTTTACAATTCCATCGACCTCGTTTCTACTCCTGGATGGATCCCATGTGACCAGGATTTCCTCCAAGCACGATTTTGGACAACAGGGATCGCCGAGACCACGTTCAAACTAGGCGCTACGAACCTCCGGATGATAGATATCGGTGGACAACGGTCAGAACGAAAGAAGTGGATTCATTGCTTCGAGGACGTTAGCTGTATGATTTTCGTGGCTGCAATCTCCGGATATGACCAGCGCACAGCTGAAGATCCTAATGCTGTACGCCTGATAGGTCTCCAAGATTGTGATAACGAAGCTCTAACCCAATCGCGGAACCAAATGCACGAAGCATTCATCCTGTTCGACTTGTTAGTTAACGGTGAACACTTCAAGCACACTCCCATCATCCTGTTCTTGAACAAGATTGATGTTTTCAAGAAAAAGCTCGCTGTTTCACCGCTGTCACAATACTATGCCGACTTCACCGGTAGTAATACAGACTTATATGCCGCTGCAAGGTATTTCGCCGATCGTTTTCAGAGGATCAACAAAACAAGAAACCGTGAAATCTACATATTCTACACGAACGCCACCGATTCAAAGTTATTGGACGTGACGATGGCCTCGGTACAAGAAGTGATACTACGAAAGAATCTTCGTACCTTCGGTCTAAGAACATATTGACTCGAATTCGAGATTTACATGACATTCAGGGCAAGAAAATCGCTTTTGCTGTAGTCGAACCGACTTTCGCCAAACCGGCTTCCTAACAGGAAGGTCCCACCTTAGCGTGGGCGTAAGAACCCGCACGCACGCCGAAAAATGTATCCTCGAGGGCGCACAGTCTGCAGCCTGCGTCACATTTGGTCAGACCAAGTCGAGATCTGGTCACTGTGCGTAACATAAGAGTGGTCGGTACTGCTGGCGTGTTATGTACGATTCACATCAAAGTCACGTGGGATGCAAAAAGGTTGCAAGCTGGACTGCACGTCTAAGCGTGGCATCCAGAACTGACATACCGCCCCAGCTGAGCCTCCGAATATGAAGCCATAAGGCAACATGAATCCATTATAGCTGACTGACGGACCGTGCAAGCATCTGTCGAGAAGTGATACACGATGACCCATGGAACCCATATGGTATTCATACGTCTCCTGATACTCCATCCCAGTTCGGCACAAATACCACCCAGTAGAATTCAGCGATAGGCTAATGCCTGGTCGACCAAATAGTCAGCGAGGGCGGCGGTGGCGGTCGAGGCAAGCGTATGGTGCAATTTGAGGCCGAATTGCGGTCAGCGTCGAAGAATCGCAGCGAGAGTCCAAGGTAAGTTCGAAAAGAGACTACCATCTAGTTTGTTTAACAATAGTCACTTTCATCGTCAATAATCAAATTCAAATCAGGCATATTGCGGAGAGAAATGGGGAGGCTGCCATCATCTGCGAAGGTATGGCTCACCTACCATCAAGCCAGACAAAATTACCAGCATTCCTCGGGTCTGAAATTTCGGGACTAAAAAGACGCGAGATGCCAACCGAAAACAAAGAGGATCACCCATTGCACGCCAGGAATCAATCCACAAGGAGGCTATTCTTTCACGATATTTGAATGCGGGAACACACGGTGATCTCAGCCCATTGTGGCTTGGACTTTGTATCGGGCAGAGATATTCACATGACATGATGCACAGAGTTGACTGAGAGAAGGTCCAAGGTAGACGATGTGAACCTTACATTGACTCATCATCGATGCCACCAGCAATGATGTGCAAGTGACAGACAGCATCGATCGCATCGGTACAGTGGACCATGAGCAGACATAACGTTTGATTGCTTCGCATTCGGCCCGAGTGACGGAAATACGAGGGTCCCCCGGTTGTATGAGCCCAATCAGCATGGCTTGAGCTACTTGGACGAGTTGTTATGACCTACCTGTTCATAGAGCTTGCAGCATGTTCGCTTGAGACAAGACGATCAATTAGATTCGTGACCATATTTTGCCGATGAGATCACTTACGATTGTCTTCATCAAAGCAGTCACCATTCGTGCAATTTGAAATGATGTTGTATCCAGTTCGTCGCACTCTCCGGCTGTCGCTTCGAATAAGCCGTGCTGGGTGCACCGGGCAACTTCTGAGAGCCAAAGGCGCGTGACAAACCACCCGTGACAGGAGAGTGCACAGTCGTAATGAGATAAGGCCCCGCGATGGGGACGGCGAGAGGTTCATACACTCGACGCCTTGGTCTTATCTCCGATCCGGGGATAGAATTCCCAATCAGTTTGTTTCACAGTGGCATTGGTTGCTCCTACTGGCATGAAAATCAATAATGATGTTCGTTATTTGGAGCACAAAAATTTGCAACAACTCATACAGCGCAGCGGAAGGCGCGATAAATCTCTCACATTCTCAGGAAGAATGGACGTCTCAAGCTTCCATACAGCGAAGCTCCCAATCGTATGTCCACCCCTGTCATTGCCCACTCCTTCGTTTTTGTTTTCTTCAGCTAGGGTTTTTTGCGCGGTTGAAGCTGCGGGGACAAGAATAGTGTGTAGGCCGTGACTTTGTATTGGGCACTAACAGGATGCTGTATCCTCGGGCCCTCTGGTGCGATGTCAATGCTCACTGTCATTCATTGGCTTGTAACTTCGCGACATAATTCATGAGTCACATGTTCTGGTGGCCTAAATTTGGGACGATGAGACGGCAAGGAGTTGCGGTTCTGCCGCTCGTGCATTGTGGTCGAAGTTCGGTTCTGTTGGAATCGTATCGTCTTCAGGATCAGGAGAATCTAGACACGTGAGCCTGAAATTCACATGCCTGCAATGCGGATATTCGCCCTTTCTCTTGGGAATGCACACAGAGGCTGTACAGTAGATGAGCTCAGTCGGCTGCTGTGGCGGGGGCATCTTCACATAGACACCTTGATCAGCTAATCCAAAACTCGTTTCTTTCATCGGCTGGTCTGGATGGCAGTGCATCTGCTGGGAATCATATTTGACTGTGTCTCTCATAGGCACTGTCCGGCTTGCTAATCGATGATGCATTCAATAAATGTCAGTACAGTGGCAATTTCAGTACGGGATCAATGGGGAATAACTTCTCAAGTGGCTCAGACACAAGCCTACTCGACTTTGCACAGTAAGGTGAATAAATTTTAGAGCAAATTGCCGGGGTACAGGGCGTATTTATAGGCTTCCCGGCTCCTTCTGTTGCATAAGTGCTCTGCTTGGTAGAACGCGTTGAGGGACGACTCGGTGAATTGAAGCGTTTTGGATGCCATTTCTTCTTTTACCGCAATTATTTACAGCGACATGCAGCGACAATCTTTATGCCTTTAGCTCAGCGAGAGAGACGAGTAAAAATGGGGTTGAGAAAAAGGGATGCTGAGTAGGCCAAAAAACGTTGGCTCACTGCCAAATCCTTCGGGGCCCTCGTTAATTAAGGCTTTGTGGGAGATAAGCAATCCGCAATGACACTCATTTCTTTTTATCAAACCATCTGTGAACGACTTAACTCTTGATGACCGAAAAGCACCTAGAGTCTCATCCCTAGAAACGATGGACTGTTTTCTCTAGCCTCGCTTCAGTGTTGAGTCGAGTTGTGGGTCTGTCCGTCTAGACTGCGGTCACGGTCGAATGTGCGAATGCTCGCCCGTCAACCAGTTGAAGCTTGGCCACATGTTGACTAAATCTTTGAACATGGGACCATCAAGATAGATTTGCTTGCACCTTTTTCTTTTTTTTGATCGCTGTAATCTCTACAGGTTCTTGTTCATTGACTGAGGCTTTCAACAATAGTGGAAAAGGTGTCTGATTAACTTACATATCTCCTCAGTGTTCTATCTGACATCTTGGGAGCACAGATGGTAACATTTTTAAAGCGAATTTTGTCTCTGCAGACACCATTCCGACCATATTCATCAGTTGAGACATAAAAAACAATGTTATGAAAATATATATGCTTTTTTGGGAGGATGCTTGTTAAACAGTGATGACGTATTCTGATCACTCGCCGAAAGTCCTGCCACGCCACCTCAACTTAATGCGTCATCCACTCGGTTCTTGCTTTAGATTATTGATATCCATTATGGATTTGCATAAGCTTTTCAACAATGCTTCCTCGCCCACAGCGTACATTCGGCCCGATAAACAAAATCCGCGGCAATCGCCTTGCTTTTCTTCAGTCGAGGCTAACATGCTGCCCTCCTTTTCAACGTTAGCGAAAAGCGTTGACTATGCAACAAATGATCATAGTCAGTGCATCTTTCGTAAATACTTCGCAATATTGATTCACTTACATTATATATTCAGGATGTCGATCCGTTCAAGCAGCATCATGTCACCGTGACGCCACTCATGTGCCAGTCTGTGACCCTTTTCTACCACATCATCCAGACCCCAGCTTCAGCCAGGAAATGAGATTTCCAGTAGACCACCAGAGCGCCAACTCGATATTTCGCCATCAGCACTACTCTATCCCCAATGTCTACCCAGGTTGTTTTGAAACAAACGTTCAAAGATTCTTCACCTCGTTGTCAGCGCCCAGCGTGAATTCCTACTCTTCCCTCTATTTTCCGTCTCCTCCTGCTGCTAATCATGCAACCAATTACAATTCCATACCGAACAAGAACACATTCCATAATCTCACATCACATTACTACTCGTTTCAGTCAGACCTTATCGGGCACACACAGAAAGTTTGGAGCCATCAGCAACTGGTGGAATTTCCACCTTTGGTCCAAAAGGTCAGCCAGCCCAGAGATCATAAACGTGCCTCCCCGCCAGGTATACGTGCAATGCACAAGAACAACAATCAATATGAATGTAAATCTTGCAACAGGTTCTTTTCGCGCCCCTCAGCACTCAACATCCACTTCCGTTCTCACACGGGCGAGAAGCCCTTCCACTGTCCTAAGATTGGATGCAACAGGGCATTCTCTGTGTTGAGCAATATGAGACGTCATACAAGTGACTGCCCGAAGATTGCGAAGCACTAGCACCGCCAATGCAATTCCCACCCTTGCCTTTGAGAAGATTCAGAAGAATCGGTCCCTTCCATTTCCAACGTTAAGGCGAACCTGTAAGCTCCAATTCGCGTGGTCATGGGAAAGGTTTCTGGCAAGTGGTGCCACTGACTTTCGCTGCACCGATCTTTCCAAACGCTATAGCTTCTGTCAGGGATATAAATGAAGTATACAGGAAGGATGGAAATATGATACACGCGTGACCCACATGATGTATATGGGCTCCCCTAATCGCGAGGAAGTTACCTTTCTTTACTTCCTCGCGCTATGTCTTGTATCTAAAGTTGACTATATCTTCTTTCAATAGTCATTACTCATCTAAGGGCTCTGTCTTTCATCTAGAGATACGCGAAATAATCACCGCGATATTTCCGACCTCTAAAAAGCAAAAATCTATCCTTGTAATCTTCATTCTACGTTCCTGGCTGGTTGAGAACTGGTTTTGGGAACAATTTGACTGGATCTGGGTGCTGCCACGCTCCTGGGACCCTAATTCTGGATCGTAGAGTCAATATTCTGCCTTCTGGGGTCGCGGAAAGCTGTCCCAAGAGACCTTCACCAGACCTAGGCACAAGTCTGTGTCATTCGATTACTCTCGGAAAGGCTTAGCCATAGCGCCAAGAACCGCACTTGAGGTTCCAGGGGGTGATCAAACTGTCAACAGGAACATCACTTTGGTTCTTGTGGAGGTACGAGACCCCAGAAGCTACGTAAGGCTTACTGGGGGTGCGTAGCTCCCAGAAACTGCTTATTTGTCCCCAGAAACTGCACTAAAGCCTCCGGGAGTAAGAGAGCCCCTAGGCTGAAGATATGAATTCCCAGGGCTGATAAATCTGTGAGCAGGAGCGTGACTGATTCTGTGAGGGTAAGAATGGAGAGTCTACAAGTTACGTACGATTTCCTGGGTCTATGTGATCCCTGGGCAGCTCACATTATTCTCGGGTCGGCTTTTGAAACCTTGACGGCCACCAAGCTTGATGGATATTTACGCAGAGCAGGTCTTCAACCATCGCCTGCTTGCTACATCATGCCACCCAGCATACTGCTCCAATATTGGCTACGATTGGTTGGCTAGTCAGATCAAGCGATGAACATGCTTTGGTTTCAATCAAGAAATTCAATTTGTAAATTATCTCACCAACTCTGCAGTAAAGTCCATTCCTTTACCGTTTTCATCGCACCTCTAATGGTTTTGGACTCCACCTCCCTTATTTTTCGAAATCATCATCAAATTCTGCGACTGCCTTTTTTCGTAAATCCGGTTGACTCGTTCCTCACCCCTACTTTAGGAGGTCGATGGAACCCTCTGTGCCTGTTTTATAGGTCCGTGTGCGCAATCTGCTAGTGCCCGCGTAAGGCGCATATGGCAAAGGGTACGAGAGACATAATGACCGCTAAAACTCCGAAATCCGCCTGGCCAACGGCTCCATAATACATAATCTTGTAGTACGGAAAATGACCCTCACTGTCAAATAACTCAAATGATGTCTGAAAACTGTGAACGTGGCTGGTAAGATAGCCTTCCAAGGAGAGAACGATCAAGCCGGCGACGAGCTGAGTGCAGACGTAGTAAAGTCGATACTTGCGGTCTTCTCGCGGGCATCTTGGGTGGATTGCAAGGGCGATCCCGAAGATGGAAAGCAGGGAACTGAATGGCGGTAACTGGACGTACCCACTTCGGGTGGGACCTTACAGATATCTGTGTGATCATGGTCGAACTATTTGTCTTGTTCGCTGCTGCGAGCATCCGATCTGCAGGATCGCATCGCTTCCAATTCCCTTTTGGGGCTCTTGGCTTCCGTTCGAGGGCCTCAATATGATCTTTGTTCTTCATAGTTTGAGGGGAATTCCTCCGTTGCGACGACTTTGTCGTTCGTCTGGTTTAAATTTTCCGCGAAGTGACCTATTGTTTGTACGTATCAGTCCTACCGCCAACAAGCTGTCGCGTCTGAAGTGAGCCTTCATGATTGCTAAGTAACACACCTTTGTCGCCTGCTCGGCCTGCGTAATAAATTAGCAAGAGGACAGGGGTGCTGATGTTGGGGGGGGGGGGGGGGGGGGGGAAAAAAAAAAAAAAAAACAACGCGAGTGGTGTCGACTGTCGGGCGCGGCAGGGGCGGGGGGGGGGGGGGGGGGGGGGGGGGGGGGGGGGGGGGGGGGGGGGGGGGGGGGGGGGGGGGGGGGGGGGGGGGGGCAACGAAAAAGGAAACTGACCACCTAGCTATGGACTTTTCCGGCGCGCACGCGCCGGATAGCACGGATTCCTTCAACGGGCCTCCTGAAGCTGGCTCGAATCGCACTCTTTTGAGTGGTCTATCTTCAGGTCTATCTCGGCGGGGCGAAGTACGCTCACGATTCTTAAGTATCGAGCGACGTATCTTCTGAGATGACACTGTGGGCTCCGCAGAGACTCTGGCTCTGTCGGGGGTCTCAATCGATTTTCGGAAGTCCGCAAGCAGGGTGTGCATGCGGCTCTCAGTAGACGACTTGTCCGGTGGTGTCATTTGGAAGAGCCGCGGTGTGTGAAGAAAAAAAAAAAAAAAGTTGGGTCGGGGGGGGAGGCTGATTTCATAGGGGCAGCTACGTTGTGCGTAGGCGCCAGGGGTGCAAGTCCTTCAATGAGAAAGAAGAGTTCGGCCAGGAGAACGATCTGGCTCGAGGTGATCCTTCATGGCCGCCGTTCCACGAGGGTTGAAATACCTGCTATGCGCGGTTCGCCGTGTTCAAATTGCGGTGAAAGACGGTGGTGTATCTCCGTGGCGGTAGCAGGTATTAAAAAAAAAGTTTACGGGATGTTGGATGTTGGTGAGTGTGGATGGTGAGTGTGGATGGTGAGTGTGGATGGTGAGTGTGGATGGTGAGTGTGGATGGTGAGTGTGGATGGTGAGTGTGGATGGTGAGTGTTGATGGTGGGTATAGCTGCAGACCAAAACTAGAGCACGATGTCACCGTAACGACATTCGGAGGCTCCATATATTCGTGACCGACTTTAGCTTTCGACACTTCCCACACCTAGCTTCTTCTCTCGCTATTCACTAGCTTCCCAATGACAAGCTAGCGAGCTTCAATTTCAATTTCCTATTGTGCATACAGCCTAGGTTTTACTCGCAAACTTGGGCCAATCCTGCTCCATCTCCTGCTTCTTGCGAACTTTACTGAACGATATCGCTCTTGCCAATCGTTTTTCTTTTTTCAACCCACGGTGTGTCCCCTCTGGTCTACCAGCCAGAGACTTCCGTGACGACGGCTGTTGCTGACCTGAGGCCAGCAACGTAAGGACGGTGCTCCGCAGAAGACCGCAGCGTTAACAAGTTCTCCGCAGGAGGGTGCTACGTCACCAAGTTCCCGCAGGATAAGCTCTGTCGTGAAGAATTGTGCCTCGCAGCCTAGGGCCTGCGTCAACAAAGTGCCTCATCAATGTGAAAGTAGCGTTGCAATCTTACGAGGAGGTGGCGATCACGAGAACCTAGCTCGTGAGCCATGGTAGCTGAAATAACTCACTTCATTGTCCTGGAAACTGGACTCGGGTTTCTATTCCGGGCTTTCCAACAAGGTTTAGACATTTGATTGTCCGTCAAGGAAAACAACCAGAGCCCTGGATTTGGGAGTATGTTCATAGTGCCGACCGGTAGCAAAAGTATCAGTGGACATAGTTGGCCGCGAGGAACCTAGAAAGGTACAGTTAGCGCGAGGCTAGGCAAAGTGGATTGTAGAGGGATCAAAGGGAGGCACGTCCTATGGCCAACAGCCGGTATAATCGAATGTCACTGTCTGCCAGTCTCCAACCCATTGTTGCGGCATCTGTTGAAGCACTCCAATCCTCATGAAAGAGAGGCGGCCATGGCTAGTGACCGTGGTCAAAACGGGCAAAGTAGTCTGCCACCGCGTTGAGCGATTTAATTGCAAATTCAATGATATGTGAGAATCATATTCTTGCGGTGTCAGTGTCTTTTCAACAGTTGATGAAGTGGTTAACCACACTCAACGGGGGTTGTGACAGCAATGACTCCAGGTAGAAACTTGACTCTGTAGGCCACAAGGTCTCCTAACACCATTCTCAACGTTGTTCATAAGTCTTCAACGCCAATAACGAGACAGTGATTCTCGCTACCAACTGCGCAACTGGTTCCTTGGTCGAGACGTAGCCGAAAAATTATAAGAGGAGCCGGATTCCTAGCCCAAAAAAATCAGGACTTCGCTCCTCACACTCCGATGTGTCATGGTGCCCCTCTTGCCTGCAGGCTTGAGAGTCTCCATGGCCACGGCTGTCGCTGCCACGAGCCCAGTGATGTAAGAAGGTGCTTCGCAGGATAGGTCTGCGTCAACAACAATCCTCGCAGGGGGGCGCTGCGTTACCAAGTGAACTCCGCAGGGGGACGCTGTGATGACAAGTGAGACCCGCAGGAGACCGCTGCGTTAACAAGTTCTCTGCAGGAGACCGCTGCATTACCAAGTTCTCCGCAGGGACATCTGCGAAACCAAGAGTCTCCGCAGGGACATCTGCGACACCAAGAGTCTCCGCAGGGACATCTGCGACAAAAAGCCCCTCTAGCCCGTGCAGGCACCTCTTCGTGGTGCTAGGAACCAGTATTCGAGTATCAAGAGTACTCGAAGAAGCAAAGACCTGCGCACCATCTTGATGACGTATTTCGTATTTCGAATGATCGTCATTGGAGAAATAAAATGAGCCCTAGATAGAAGCAAACCAATATCAGAATCGTAAACTCAAGATTCCCCCTTCGTTATTCAGTGCCGTATTCCGAATACTCCTGTCTTCATGGTTTGCAATCGGCTAGTCTTTCCGCCGCAATCGAATGCATCTGCCATCAGGGCACGCAGCGACCAAAATGGTGGGTATTTCGGTGCGTCGTGAATGTGTTGACCGGGCGTTCACGAGCGTTGATGGTAGTTGATAAAGGTTGATAGTCGTTGATGAACGGTGATGGTCGTTGATGAACGGTGATGAACGTTGATGAGCGTTGACGATAGTATGGACGAGGGTGTTGATGTGTGTTGATGAACGTTGATGAGCGTTGACGATAGTATGGACTAGGGCGTTGATGTGTGTGTTGTGCTGTTTTCTATGCATGTTCTAGTCTGTGAGCCCAGATCTCGGCCCGACGTTTTCCCCGGCCCAATCCGGGGGTTCAACTACTCCAAGAAGCAAGATATCAAGATTCAACAGCAACGACCTGGTTATAAAGGTCATCGAAAGCCATGGCTACACTATAGACCCGATTGCATAGGAATTGACAAGAAAAAGTATAATTTGACCAGGATTTTGTACTATTCTGGCACTTAGACGATTAGGGAGCGTCAGCACAGATATATATATCTCATATAGACAGAAGTAAGTGTATCTTCCTGTTCAAGTATGACATTTTCAACGGTGGAACTCCTCATTTGTAGGCCTATATAATTCAGTTTTATACCAAAAGCTAGCTAATTTCTCAAAATGAGTGTCCGTTTCCACAGATAATTGATCTGGGAAAATCTGCATTTTTTATGCAAATGCCAAGAATTGGCATGTCTGTATTGTTTCCGGCCCATAGCCCATCTGCGAGTTGGGGCCGGTCCGGAAGTCTACATATGACAGAGATAACAGTTTCATTGTTTCATTCTGCACCATTTGGCATCACTTGCTACGATGGTCCCCCCGTGGTTACTCGGTAAAGTTCGCACACAGCCTCCAATTCGATTGAGCTGGTCCAATGCAAACACCAATATCCCTCGGTGAAGCTATAATCAGGCAAACGCCCACGATCAGACCTACCAGGTGTAGAAGAAGCATTTAATGAGCGCTCGAAATACGTTTTGTTGCTCGAATAATTATGGTGATGCCATAGACTGTTCCTCGCGTAGTCAAATTTGCCGCTTCAGGCGGCTTGCAAGTCACTCACTCCTACTCTGCTGTAGAATACCTACATCCACAACGGTCGCGAGTCAAAGTGGATTCCCAACAAAGACAACCAAGAAATTGAGGGCTTTGGCTCAAAACCATTCAACCGGCCCCTTCTACAAATGGGAGCCGTCGCACATTTGTCTGTAATCCCCGCCAGCAACTACGATTTATATTGCGAGCCCATCTCCCATGTAGCAGCCACACCGCACTCAAATTGGCGACCACTGCTTTTTGGGCGTTGGAGCCGCAGACATGCCCCTATTCCATCCCCTCGTTCCACCCCCCGAACGCAATCACATGAAGGCTGATTAGGGATGGAAACTTTGGCTTAGGTTGTGGGAGATAGTCAAAGAGGTCGCACAGCAGGACACTTGGTGGTGTTGTTGCGGACATCAATTCCACCTTCACAAAGGATCTGCTTGAACAGTTATATGCCAAATGTCGTTCAAAGCGCAGTGTCTGACAACTAATTGATGCCCAAGGACAGTCGAGGCAGGGGACGTAGAGAACTCGGCCATTTCCTGGAAAAAGCTGCTTGCGCGCGATATGTTAGAA